TAAGCTGGGCTGGCCATGAAAAGGTTCGCCTACTTTTCAGGAAATTAGTCACAGCAGAATATACTAAGTCTGTTAACTATATTTTGCCTAAGTAAACCAGTGACTTGAAATTTAAAGAGGCGGTTCAATCATTAACAGAACTCTTCAGTCCAAAAACGTCACTGCTCCATAAGCGCTGGGAATGCATGAATCTCACCCGCAAAGAAGACGAAGGTTATACTACTTTCGCGAGTGTAGTCAATAAATACTGCGATGATTTCAAATTGGCACAGTTAAGCGCCAATAATTTTAAATGCCCGATTTTGATCCAAGGTTTGATTTAAGCGAAAGACACCGGAATACGTTGTAGGGTACTCAACAAGCTTGAAAACGAGTCCGACGTTATTTACAACAAGTTGCCTAATATTGTCAACGTTTCGTGAGCGTCAGAGATTATTCGTAAAACATCGAATAGAGTGGCGTAGTTCACATTAAACAAATTAAAACAGGGTCAACCAAAAAATAATAAAGTTACTTTGCCGTCAAGACCATGTTTCGGAGGTGGTTAATTACATTGGTATAGAGATTGTCCTTTTAAAGATAAAAATGTTTTAATTACGATAAATTGGGACACAAAAGTCCTCACTACAGGATTATGAACAAGACAAAAAAAAAAGTTTTGTAAAAATTACCAAGTCTGATGAACCAGAAAGTCGTGACATCAGGAAATATATCGAAGTGCAAACATTTAACAAAAATATAAGGCTAGAGTTTGATTGGGTTCAGACTTATCCATAATTAATTATCAAACGTGGAAAAAAACTGGGTAAGCTGATTTTAAGAACGAACCGAATAGCTAAAAGTGTAACTGGCGACCCTATTAAGTTTATGGGCGAACTTAAACGAACGTGTCATTCAAAGGTAAAACTTTAAAACTAAAGGCGTATATTATGAAGAATACAGATAATTTGTTCGGGACTGATTTGTTAGAAAAGTTTCAAATTTGGGATATGCCGATTAACTCATTATGCCAAAAAGGCGAAAATTTGACCGATGAAGCAGAAAAGTTGAAAGGTAAACTTAAAAGATATATTCCCCACGTGTTCAGTGGAGGACTAGGAAAATGCACAAAAATGTCTGCTAGGTTTGAGTTAAAGCCAGGCGTAAATCCAGTTTTCAAGAAAAAAAAAAACGTAACGTTCCAATTGCCTCGTTAAATCAAATTGACGAGGAGTTGAATCGATTTGAGGAAATTGAAATTCTGGCAAAATTTGAATATAGTGAATGTGTATCTCCCAGTTTATATTAAGAAATTCGTGTATGTGCTGACTTCTTAACGGGGCTGAACAGCACCCTAAAGGATCACCATTATCCCCTTCCAAGTCCAGAAGAGATATTCGCTAAGCTCAGTGGAGGAAAATATTTTTCTAAGATTGATTTAAGCGACACATATCTACACATACCCGTGGACGAGGAATGCTCGAAGCTCCTTTGCATATACACCCACAGGGTTATATACAAATTTTTAAGACTTCCGTTCAGGGGTAAAGCCACCCCTTTTCATCAGGTCATGGACACGATGTTAAATGGTCTGGGTTTTGCGGTGGTCTATCTAGATGACGTCCTAATAAAAAGCAAGAGCATCGAGGAACACAAATCGTACGTCTGGCAGGTGTTCATGAGAATCCAGGATTACGGATTCAAGGTAAAAGACGGGAAGTGTGAGTTTTTTCTTGGAGAGGATTAAGTATTTGCAGTAAATAATTGACAAAGACAGAAGACGTCCCGATTCAGATAGGACAACGGCGATAATGAATATGCCAGCACCTGAAAGTGTGTCGGCTCTTCAAAGTTTTTTAGGTCTTGCCAATTATTACAACGTTTATCTCCCAAGAATGCACAGTTTGAGAGCTCCACTTAATGAATTATTGAGAAAAGATAAAGAGTTGGAATGAACAACCAAAAGCCAGGAAGCATTTGAGAAAATAAAGGAGATCCTCACATCAGATCTGTCCCTGACTCATTACGATCCAAACTATGACATCGATGTTAGCTTCTACGGCATCGGGTTGTCCATTTTACACAAGTTAAAGGATGGATCGGTAAAGCCCATCGCCCATGCATCTAGGACGCTCTTATCAGCTGAAAGACTTTACTCACAAATAGAAAAAGAACCCTTAGGAATCATTTTTGTGGCGACTAAATTTCATAGATTTATTCATGGAAGGTACTTTTTTGTTGCAGACAGACCATCGTCCACTCCTCCCTATCTTGGATCCAAAAAGGGTCTGCCAACACATACTGCTAATAGACTGCAAAGATGGGGAACCATTCTCCTCAATTATAACTACAAAATAGAGTTTCTTCCATCCACTAAAATCTGTCATGCAGATGGGTTGTCTAGATTGATACCTAAGTATGCTAAACCCCTGGAAGACAGTCATTGCTGCCATATGATCAGAAGTCGAAATGAAAAGTACCTTGCCCAGTACTGTCATCTTCACGGGGTTTATATATATATATATATATATATATATATATATATATATATATATATATATATATATATATATATATATAAACCCCGTGAAGATGATGTCAGATGAGATTGAAAATACTTGGTAAAATAAAAAGTATCCGAAAAAAAAATTTTGGGTGTTTTCTTACTCAGTTTTCTAAATCAACCAGAAAATTTAAACTTGAAAGGATCACAACGAAACCAATCGACATGGTATGTCTAAATTATTTAACCAAACCTATTGGAATATATATATATATATATTAGCTCTGTCTCTGATATTGAACGCTTTCTAATAAGTACCGCTTATATAATATATAAATAATTATATATATATATATATATATATATATATATATATATATATATATATACAGTTTTAAAAACTAGGAATTTATTGATTTTAATTTTATTAGTCTCTAAGGTCCTTTCAACCAACATCTCATCAGGAGACAATCGTTGGATCATTAATTAACGAAAAGAACAGTAATGAAAATAAAGAGCAAAAAAAAAAGAAAAAAGAGTTGGGAAACACACTAAAATAACAAACAAGTGTATATACTTGTAACGAGGGGAGGGTAAATAACGTGTAAAGAAATTAGCGAGTGACAGTTAAAATAAAATACCCCCCAACAGATTAAGGGACTTTACAAATTCTTTCTGTCGGTGTCTCTGTGAGTCTGTGGATCGGGATCAACTATGAATTGCAATCTGATATAATGATGTGGTAAAGAACGTGTTACAAATTCATGACGATCGTCTTCGAGTATAGAATCCAGAGGTTGGCAGTAGGAAAGCGTAGTTCAGGTTAGCAGTGGATATCGCAGCAAAGTAGCAGAGTGTAGTTCTTCCTTCTGTCATCTTCGCCTGACAAGTTGGCACTGGTCATTCCGGTAGGATAAACAAAGATAGCCGCCTTTATACACGACGGATACAATGTTCTGTGGCTTCTGATTGGTTAACCTTGTATTGGTGGACTATAAAGGGAGTTAAGTCATTTTCACTAACTCACTAGTTACATGATACATACACAAAAAACGTTAACAGAACGAACGTCTATCATATAAAGTATATTTTTGTGTTGTTTGATTGTCATTGGCTGCACATGCATTTGACTTTTTAACTAGCGTTCGTGTATATAATTTATGGTGATCTTAAAGTATGTTAAGTTATCTTCTTTGAAACAAGAAAAAAACAAGAAAATGTTTTTCACTGTCTTATAATAATATAATAATTCGTCATCATTTCTTGCATAAAATTTCAAGTCATCCCTACGAAATAAATAGTTTGTCCTTTCTATTTCTTTTTGCCTTGTATCCATATCCTATATATCTTAAAGAATTTCGATAAAAAAACTCAAGCCAGAAGAGCCGATAAAGTGACCCCTTGAAAAAAATCGTATTTAATGTTCATGTCTTTACTTAGGAACGCCATCAGAAAACGAGTGTCACAGATTTGTCTTCGAGACGTATATATGATTATGTAAGAATTTCACAATTGGTGGTGAGATTTTCTAGGCTTCAATGGCGTGGATAATCTATGAGCGTTGAATGCTACACTGAGATTTTTGCATTTGGCGTGAGTAAATTTTCAGTGTCATCCTGTTTATAAGCAACTGATCTTTGCGGTGATAGGACACCAATTTGAATCAATAGGACATAAACATCCTTGTGCAAACTAATTGAAACAACCGCTTTAGTTTCATTTCTGTCACCATGCGGTCAGTTTTAGACCCACTGGAGTGAGAGGGCGTAATTGATTTCTATTTTTTCCTCGGATTAGGTCATTTGCAGTGGTGTGCAATAATATGAATCTATTTTCTGGGTGTGTGATGAAATTTGTTTGGCCTTGAAAAATATTGTGTCATCCGTGATTGCAACAGCTTTTTATAACGCCCAGACACTATTCTCTCGATTGTCGATTAGTTGTCCTACGACCATTGTTTGCGATGGACGTTACTCCAACTAATCGTACGAAAATTGTAACGTTGCACGAACACACTGGCAAGCCTTACCTGTGTGCAAAGTAATATAAATTGGTACAGAATCTATCCTGATTTAATTCCAATCGAAAATCTGTGGTCTATCTGCAATGAACGACTTCGTGGAATGGACATAAGAAGTACAAACACTGGGTCATGTTTCATTAGAAAAATACGAAAGAAAAGTAAATAATAACGTTTTGTTTCAATTAATTTACTCAAGGGTGTATTATGTTCTCCAGTTGACTGTATAATCTTAAGGTGTTGATAAACAAACAAGTGATTGGTCGATAGTTTTCAGGTTTTCTTTTTTTGTAATGATAACAAGTATGTGAAATTTTGAGCATTCTGGTGATGTGGCTTTGATCATTATTTCATTAAATAATTTTACCATAATATCATTAGTTGCAGACATGGTGCTAAGCCAGAATCTTGGAACTTGTATTTAATCAGTAAAAAATGTATTTTACATGATAAGACTGATGTATGTTATGGTTATTGTAGTAACAAAGAAAAGGTTACAGAATGAGGAATAGATAGATAGATAGATAGATAGATAGATTAATGGGTTCAAAACTGATATTTTAATTAGATAGGTAAAGCATTTTACTCATGTGTATAGGTACATAGATAGATATGAAAAGACTGAAAAGATAGATAGATAGATACGAACAGACTGCAATAGATAGATAGAAAGAATAGTGGGAGATAGTGTTGTAGCCTAGAAAAAGCTGCTGAATGAGAAATAGATAGATAGATAGATTCAGGTTACAAAACTGATATTTTAACTAGATAGGTAAATCATTTTGCTCATATATATAGGTACACAGATAGTTATGAAAAGACTGAATAGATAGATAGATAGATAGATAGATAGATAGATAAGAACAGACTGCAATGGATAGATAGATAGAAAGAACAGGAGGAGATAGTGTTGTAGCCTAGAAAAGGTTACTGAATAAGGAATGAGGAATAACCCAAACGGATGTTGGAAATGAAAAGGTAATCTTTATAACATCAACAAAATACATTACTCGCCAGCGCCGTGAAGTAGGTAAACCACTGCTAGTAGTGGACTACTTAGACACCATATTCCCCCCATTTACAATAGTGTCCAACGTATTTATGAGGATTATTATAGATAGATAGATAATTAAGAACAGATTGAAAAAGAAAGAATAGTGTATGATAGTTTTGTAAGCTAGAAAATGTTAGTGAATAACCCAAACAGAGTTTAGAAATGAAAAGGTAATCTTTATAACATCAACACCATAAAATACTCGCCAGCGGCGTAAAATAGGTAAACCACTGCTAGTGGTGGACTACTTAGACAGAATATTACGATATTTACCTGTCTCCCTACGAGGTGGGATGTGGCACAAGGCTAAATTTAATGTGGGGAATTCCGAGCCAATGGGCTCGGCAAAAATTACCCGTAGACCCCGCATACACGAGATCGGGTATCTGTCTACCTCCCCGGACGAGTCTCTGCCCTTCGTCATAGCCTCGTCCGGGTTCCTCTCTGCCCAAAGGTAGGGAATTCGTCATGGCAAGAGCTTCCCACGCTGACAGCTAAGGTATCCCCCATTTATAATAGTGTCCAACATATTTATGAGGAATGGGACATACCTATTTGTGTTCATAGATATAGGATACAATAGTTATATATTAGAGTACTCATCCACCCCGTTGCGTTTCAACCAATAAAGTAATATTATATTGTTATGTACAGTGACTTTTTGGGATACGCAATGAGAAAGGAGAGCTTGGAGAATTTGATACTCACGGGTCAAATAGAGAGAAGGAGAAACAAGAGAAAGCAATGCATGACATACCTGACGGGCTTAAGCAAGTGGATGACAGAACGTGGGCTGGGGGAGGTAGAAAAAGGAAGGAACTTGTTGAGAGCTGCAAGAGATAAGGGGAAGTGGAGAGACATGATTGCCCACGCCCTGAAAAGAAAAGACACATATAAAGAAGAAAGAAAAGGTGGAGGGAATGTAACCGAATCCCTAGTGCAAGGTCAAGATATATAAAGTATTACCTACCCAGCAATGCTAGCAAAGGGTTAAAAAGCAACAGAAACTGTGTATTATATACGAGTGATTACGCAATCGTTTCTCTTCGCATATTATAAAACTTTATTTTGAAAACAAATTAGTGTGTTTGGATATTGTTGTAACCTAGCGAAGGTTACTGAATGAGGAATAACCAAAACGGAGGTTGGAAATGAAATCGTAATCTTTATAACATCAACAAAATACAATGCTCGCCAGCGGCGTCAAGTAGGTAAACCACTGCTAGTTGTGGACTACTTAGACACCATATTACTCCCGACTTACAATAGTGCCCAACGTATTTATTAGTTTTTGGGACTTATCGATTTTCGTTCATAGGTACGGTATACAATAGGATTTATCACGTTCCTCGAGTCTACATTACGATTTAGCTTGGTTTTGTTGTTTCAATTCTTCATTCAATTGAGTTATTTGCCCTTTACTCTGCAGTTGATATTTCCTCCTAATCGTACGTGCTTTTGCACAACTTATTTCCTTATTCCTGTGAATTTACTCCCATTTCTGCTCTCCTTTTTTTTTATATATTTCTCTTGATATTTGCCTCCCATCCTGATTTATTATTTCGTGACCTGCGTTTCCGGCTTTTCCCGGTTAATCCACACTGAAGACCAGCTGCATATATCAATTGGCTTAAATCGTTTGTTTAAACTTATGCTCATTTCTGATTTTCAAAAGAGGCTCTCTTGCAGACATGTCGACATCAGCTACTTTCATTTTACCAACATCAATTACTTTCAGTTTCACTTTCGTTTTCTCTCTTCAATCATTTCTCCTTTCGTGATTCTAATACCATCTAAATATTGTTAAAAATCAGTTGTTTGATGATCCCTTTTAATTATATTTTCATCTACCTCGTTCTATTCGATTTGCCAATACTTAGCATGTACTGGCGGCCTACATCGTACAAAATGGCGTTCAACATTTTTGTCTATTTGCTGAGTATTATTCTGTTCCCTGTTTTGTTTGATCTTGCACTTAACCCTTGACTTAGTTTCTGTTCATTCAGCATATGTGCGCTATTTTTCTTTCATGATATATCGTCCGGCATTTGCAAACTTTTGGGGGTCAAAATATTTTCTCTTGCCCTTTTTATTTCAGACAATACACAGTAAACCTCTTTAGTAGTTTTTTTTTTGTTTTGTTTTCGCAGATTTATTTCCTGTGAAGTAGATACAATACATTACTTTTTTTATAGCCTTGAATTTTCAAGTTACATTTTTTTTTTAACTTTCAGTTGACTTCTGGTGATGGTAGACCTTGAGGGTTAGATATAAGTATAAACTTGTTCTGGGGATCTGTCAGAATTTTTGTTTGGGGTGGGATTGGATCAGACTGATCCCAACCCCTCGCAACGAGAGAGATGCGTTCACTGTTAAATCATCGAACGAACGACATAGTTTTTTTTTTTCCTTGAAGACTTTGTTGATGTGCTTTCCCAATAGATGCACGAATTATTCATGGGGACAAGGAAATCAATCCATGGTTGACCGGCACCATTTGTTACTGGCGCCACTTCCTGTCAGGTATCGTTCCCAATATCATGCCGCAGAAGCCATTCGCACCTTGACTTGTGCGGTTTTATCCATTTTCTTTCCCCCATGAGGTTTACCAACAGAGGCTGAGGACTCCTTTTTATTATTTTTTTTTATTTCCTTTGATTTCTGGTGTTTACACATTTCTTTCCGGGTCCCACTAGGGACCTAAGGTTAGAAATGGCATTATGACACTTTCTAGTGACAAAAAAAAATTACATAGATAAAGCCCTTCGTAAAGTGTGGGCTGTACTTGTCAGAACATTTTTTGTATCTCTTTGAGACATTTCATATTTGCTGTATACACATTTCTATCCCGTTCCCAACCAGAGACCTAAGGTCAGAAACGCTCCAAGTTATTTTTCACTGAAAATTTTTGTCAAAAAAAAAAAAAAAAAAATGATCACACACATTTTACAAAGATAAAGCTCCTCGTAATATGTGTGCTGTATTTGTAAGTACAATTTTTTGTATCTCATTAAGGCGTGGGCTACAAGGAATTCCTTCAATGAGTCGATCGGAACCTTTTTCCACTCAGCCCGACTGGAATTATTTAATACCATACGTACACGTCTGTAGTATTTTTCTTATTTGCTTCTTCATTTTGGCATGCTTTATTCCATCTCCTTTGCCAATTCCATTTATAGGCATTTTCTTGTTCAAATTCCCTAACCTTTTTGAGAAAATCTCGATCTATTGCGAGTGTTTCACATATTGTCCCTTTTGCAGAGTTAACTAATATGAAATACATACCGATGTCGTCACTGAAACATTTTAACGTATTGAGGGACCCATTAACTCATAAGATTTTTACGTGTCCTATCTCTGTAACCGGACTTGAGTGGTGTTCATACCAGTTTCTTGCAGTTTTATTCCAGTGAAAGTTGCATATTTTTTCATTGCAGATATTGGCGCACTATATCATGTCGAGTTATATATTCATTGGGTGATAAAACCGTGCAACCCGATAAAAATTGGTCAATTGTTTCTGGTTATTTATCAACGAATTTGCATTTAGGGTTAACAATTTTTATACTTCTTTCGGCTTAACACAATTTTTCAATATGCGCGATTGAGAATTTTTAGTTAGCAATCATTAGTCCTGTGGAGAAAGAATCTAATCCGAAATTCATACCTATGTCGTCAGTGAAACATTTTATAGTCCTGAGGAAACCCTTCGACTCATTGTCGTCTTTGACAAAGAGTTTGAGATCATCCATGTAGAGTAGGTGATTAAATAAATTCTAGTTTACATTGTATTCATAGCTATAATCGTTTAGTTCATACGAAAAGGGGATTAAGGACAGACAAAACAGAAGACGTAAAAAGGAGTCTCTTGAAAGATTCCTCGTCGGATATTCAGCCGGTTGGAAGTGACAATGTCTTTGTTGTGATTTCGGTATAAGGTAGTTTTTCCATATCCTCATGCTGTGTTTAAGGAAATTTGCTATCTGTGACATAGAAAGAGAGACCCCCGACCCCGAGGTGGATTTAGTAATCAACAGTGCTAAAGAATTAGGATGAAGGTGCTAATTACTTGGGTAGAAGGGATTCCGGAGTAATCCCAGAAATAAGTTGTTTTTTTTTCTTGTTTTTTCTCTTAATAATTGTTTCTGGGGTTGAGTTATTAGTTAATTAAATTTAATAATTCCAGAGTGATTAAGAGACGGATTTGTTAAAGTAAAGTTTGTGATAAATGGCGAAATGGACTTTTGGGTGGTTTGAATGGCGGAATTCAACCAGGCGGGATAAGTGGTTTTGGCAAAACTTAAGTAGACGTTGTCTGCGGAAGACCCAGCAGGAGGTCCGAATCCGATTTTAGTATCTCTTGAAAATTTCGTTCCCGCGGAGTTTCGGGGACCGGAAAAGCTTGCATGGTGGTGTGACGTCACCCTGTGCCTCTGCCCCCGTGCAATCCTGTGACGACCAATGTGACTTGGTATTGGTCGCGGCGCCAAATGTGACGATCTAACCCTCGGCTGATTCGAATGGAAATCTGGTTAGATTCGGTATTAGCTTTGTCGTTCCCAGCTCGCCTCCAACGTCTGGTTACCGAAGTAACTGCTTTGATTTCTGGTCTAACCTACCCACGTTGTGATTTGATCTTAGGTAGACGAAATCAATCAGTCGTCGGGCCGTAGTGCAAGCCGAATTCGAGCAAAGGTGACACTGCACAAGTATATGTAAAAGAAAATAAAGTAACAACTCGAAAGGTTCAAATGTGTTAAAAAAAGAATAACAAATATTTTTATATCTGGTTGCTGAATACAGGACGGCGTCTTTCACCCAAACCGCTTCTATGGATACGTGACACTTTGCGTTGGTTAGGCG